GCCCTTATAAAATCACAAAAATACTTAGGAACGATAGTTTTGTGATAGAAGATGTAGAAGGGTTTCAACATTGTAAAGCGGTTGTTACGTTCAACATCTTTTGATATTCATGTGAGCAGAGTTAAAGTCTGGCACGGTGGCGAGGCCAGCTAGCTCGTCAGAAAATGGGTGGGTTCTTTACTCCGCTATAGCACACTCGAACCGTAACAAAAAAATAAAAAAATCGTGCCAGAGAGTTTGGTTCAAAAAAAAAAATTGCAATCAATGTGATCAAAGTAGATCAAGTAAACAAAACAAAATAAGGAAGGTAGAAATAACAAAAAAAATTATATAAAATTACTATTACTATTTCATTGTAATATTTTGTGTCTACCAGTGTTCTTTCGTATTGTCCCTGTCCCTGTCTGTCGGTTTGGACCTACCCACCCTCACTACACTACCGTAGTTACCGTTGAGCTGAAGTAACAGGCCCTGTTAAATTCTCTCCAGCTCCCTAATTTCATGTTCGTCCCTGTCCTGACTAGCTCATTTTAACCTTACCTAACATTGTCCCTTTCTCACATCCACCTGTCATCTATATCTTCTCTTAAGCCCTCATGTTTAAGTATTTTTCTTTTCTATATAACATATCCAACTAACATTTCAACAAAGCAAAAAAAAAATTATTGTTTTTAATGACTTATATTTTTGGTTGAATCAAAACAAACAAAAATAAATGATGAGTTACAAATATTTAATCTAAGTAAATTTGTTGTTAAATAACTAACAAACTTCATTTTATTAAATATAATTATGTAAATGAAATTATTGACATGATAAAAATAAAAGAAATATTAAATAAAAAAAAATAAAAAAAATATAAGAAAATAATGAACAAATTCAAATAATATTAGAAATATTTATCAAAATAAATCCAGAGTAAAAAAAAACCAAAGAGAAAAAGAAAATAAGCAAAAAGGTATTTAACTAAGCTTAAATAACTAACAAACTTCATTTTATTAAATATAATTATGTAAATGAAATAATATTAGAAATATTTATCAAAAATAAATCAAGAGTAAAAAAACCAAAAGAGAAAAAGAAATAAGTAAAAAGATAAACAAACAAAGAGAGGATCATTACAAGTAGCAATTTTTTTTATCCAGCTACTCTTATTTACGAATCGCCTCCACGTTGGTGACGTCACCAGCCAGGAAACCTGTAATTAAAATAAAACCTAAGACTCTCTTTCTATCTGTACTCTTCAGTACTTTCATAGTATATTGGTTGTTTCCTATATACCCACATATATATCAAGTTTAAATGTTTCTTTTCCCCTTTTTTTCTTTCTGACTCCTGTTTCAACAATTAGTTTAATTAAATATTAAGAATCCAATAATAACAAAAATAATAAAAATTATGAAAATTATATAATCAAATAATTATTAAAAAAAATTTTAAAAATGATATAAGAATTCAATAATAATAAAAAAATAATAAAAATTATGAAAATTATATAATAAAATAATTATTAAAAAAAAATTTTATAAATGATATAGGTATATCATGTGAAATAATGAATTTTTCGTCACTTAGCTGTTGTTGTTTCTGCTGTCTTGTTGCTGCTTTCTTGTGGAGCTTCTACAGATTCTGCATAGTCAATAAGATCATTGCGTGATGTGCCATTCATTTGTAAAATGGGATCAGTTAGAGTAACTAATTCTTCATCAGGTGGATTTACTTTTCACTTGTTGTTCTTTGCTGCTGCCTTATTCATGCCACTGAGATAGGGATGTTTTCAAATTATGGCCATCAGTTAAGTGGACAGATTAGTTTAGAACTTTTTTAGTTTTCTTTAGCGATAATTTAAGCCTCCGATTTTTAAGAATAAATTAAACGCTTAAAGCGTAAAGAATATTTAAATATTAGTTTAGAACTTTTTAGTTTTCTTTAGCGATAATTTAAACCTCCGATTTTTAAGAATAAATTAAACGTTTAAAGCGTAAAGAATATTTAAATATTAGTTTAGAACTTTTTAGTTTTCTTTAGCGATAATTTAAACCTCCGATTTTTAAGAATAAATTAAACGTTTAAAGCGTAAAGAATATTTAAATATTAGTTTAGAACTTTTTAGTTTTCTTTAGCGATAATTTAAACCTCCGATTTTTAAGAATAAATTAAACGTTTAAAGCGTAAAGAATATTTAATTATTAGTTTAGAACTTTTTAGTTTTCTTTAGCGATAATTTAAGCCTCCGATTTTTAAGAATAAATTAAACGTTTAAAGCGTAAAGAATATTTAAATATTAGTTTAGAACTTTTTAGTTTTCTTTAGCGATAATTTAAGCCTCCGATTTTTAAGAATAAATTAAACGTTTAAAGCGTAAAGAATATTTAAATATTAGTTTAGAACTTTTTAGTTTTCTTTAGCGATAATTTAAGCCTCCGATTTTTAAGAATAAATTAAACGTTTAAAGCGTAAAGAATATTTAAATATTTGTTTAGAACTTTTTGTTTTCTTTAGCGATAATTTAAGCCTCCGATTTTTAAGAATAAATTAAACGTTTAAAGCGTAAAGAATATTTAAATATTTGTTTAGAACTTTTTGTTTTCTTTAGCGATAATTTAAGCCTCCGATTTTTAAGAATAAATTAAACGTTTAAAGCGTAAAGAATATTTAAATATTTGTTTAGAACTTTTTGTTTTCTTTAGCGATAATTTAAGCCTCCGATTTTTAAGAATAAATTAAACGTTTAAAGCGTAAAGAATATTTAAATATTAGTTTAGAACTTTTTAGTTTTCTTTAGCGATAATTTAAGCCTCCGATTTTTAAGAATAAATTAAACGTTTAAAGCGTAAAGAATATTTCTTTCGTACATTCGTACATATGTCTAACTTGCATATAAAAGTGCACTTTATGTAGTTTTAACTTATTAAATTTCTCACACCATATGTGCATTGCAAAAAAAATGCTATTGTCATTTTTAACATTTTTGTTCCACTGCATATTTTAATAATTTAATATAACACAATTATCAATTATAATCATTTACAGTATTCAATTCAGTATTCATTATTTTGGTATTTTATTTTTAAATATCCACTTTATTTATTATTTAATATATTTTAATCACATATTTTAAATTGCACCAATAAAAAAACTTTTCTAACTACTCGCGGACATCGACCGTCACCGTTCAAATCATTTTCAAGAAGGCCGCTAGCAAACACTCTTTCCTTTTTTATATCTATCATCTTTCCGTAATTTCACCCGTTGTAAACTCATCCCGTACACTTTTGGAGGTCGTTCTTTACACCTTCAGTTAATATTGCTTTTTTTCTTTTGTACATTCCGAACGCCCCACCTGCCTTACCTACTTTTTTCCTTTTATAACTTATTCTAATACTTCCATTGTACATTGCTCTGGCAGCATTGATCTTTACAACTCATAAAGCTTTTGCTGTCACTTTGATCAAAACAAAAAATGTACAAAAGCTTTTATACATTTATTTCTTTTGCAATGTGCGAGCAATGCACTTTGTTATTACTTACAAACAAATTAGTCAATTTTATATATACAATAAAAATATTGTATCTATAAGCATATAAAAAAAAATGTGATAGTGCTGTTGGCGTAGCACCCGATCTCTAGTGTTACTGGTGGACGTAACTAGTGCTACCTGGAGAGGAGCTGGACATCGCGGTTAGCCCGAGGTATCATCTTGTTTGCATTCTTAATAACTATATATCTAATTTTTCTCTTTTCATGCAGGCCTACATTACACGGTGTATAAAGGTATTTGGGCAGCTTCAAATATGAAACCGTGGTTTGGAATATGTATGGTGTCAGATGATAGAGAGAAAAATGTTAATACTAATGAAAGCACTAGAATGTTAAGTTCTAAAAGTAGGAATCAAGAATCAGCAGATCCTTGAGTTCTGAACAGCCGAGTTGTAGTAGTATAAGTATTGTAGTTGCATGATAGTATATAAGTATTGTAGTATATAAGTATTGTAGAATTAAGCAAACACATGTAAACTAAGGTAGAATTAAGAGAAAGAGCAATAAAAACAGACAGTTGCGCTACGACCGTCGAATAAAACAGACGTGTGTTATTTTCCACTAAAATATTTAAGAACAAAATATATATTTCTCTAACCCCATTTTCCGCAAAAAGGTAATTATAGAAAATTTGATCATGTGACATAATAAAATTAATCAGATAAGATATAATTCAAAATGGCAGCTAAAATTTTAATCAAAACTCTCGTGTGAATATAGTATAATACTGGATTATTGGAATACTTGAATGAAATTTTAGCTGACAAAACTTTTAAATAGACATCTGAAAAACTCTCGTGTGAGTCCAATATAAGATAGTACAGTCTTTCCAATTTAGCAGACAATTACATGTCTAATTTAAATTAATCATCACTAAAACCAAAAAAAAAACCATCACTAACTCTTAAGATAATGTACGATGTAGACCGAATATCTGCTTTAATAAATAAAGTATAATTTTTATTAAAACTTGCAAATAAAAATAGTTTTTTTTAGTGTGTTTAGTATTATGCTAGAGATACCTTAGTTCTCATTTAACACTTCAGTTTAATAACAAAATGTAACCGTTGAATTTCAGGACGTTTTAATTTTATTTTATTTACGTTAGTTTTTACGTGCACACTGTTCAAGTACAACTACCATACTTCTCTGCTGATATTGCTCTCTTTTTCTTCGTTCGTATTTTTCATTTTCTTCTCTTCTTTAAATGCCACAGTGTTTACAGCTAGTTCGTACTTCACAACTTGGCCAATCCTGAAGATAAATCATCGTCGATTTGCAAGTCATTGTCCCATCGTGGTGTTCAGAAGAGGTGGAACACCGTGGTTAAATCTTGTCAGATGCGAACACTGCGCAGAATTTTCGTGACGTTTCCTGGTATGCCTTGTACGAGGTATTGGTTGTGACCCAATTCTTTTCGTGACCAGTCGTGACAGGTTCCGGGAAATTGGGTTTGTTGTCACATTTTCCACTTAGAACGCTCACGGGCAATATTTTCTGTTAGATGTTTGGATATGCGATAATAGTCCTGGACAAATTTACGGAAAAATCCCGTTAGTCTTAGAAATCGTCGCACTTTCGTTGTTCTTATCGGCGTAAAAAAATGCTTGATTGCGGAAATTTTCTTTTTTCCGGGCGTTATACCATTTTCGTCGATTATGTGATTAAGTGCCAAATTTGTGTAGCTAAAAATTAGTACTTTGCTAAACATAATGTCATTTAGCAGTCAACGAACCTTTTGAACCCTTTTCAATCGTTGTACTTGGTATAATAACATTGTTGAGATGTACCATTGTTTCGCCAGAAAACATCTTTGCGTCTATCCTGTTCATCACTTGATGAAACATAGCTGAAACATTCACCATCCGAATAGAATTTTATTGAATTCGTAATAACCATCGACAGTGACGAAAACGATGCATTTCTCTGATTTTTTATCCATTTCAATTTTTAAATCGAGCGTAGTAAAATAACAATTACCTGCCAGATGCTTGAACTATTCCTGCATGATGGGCATCGGGAATAGCATTTTCGTGATTGTTTTATTTAAACAACGCATAGACGATGTTCTTCATTCTTCTTTTCGACCAGTACGATCGGTGAGTCGTATGCAGAAGAAATTGACATATTATCCCTTTATCGAATAATTCACGTATGATATTAGAAATTATCGGACGCTTCGCGAATTGGACCGTTGTGAATCATTGTGTTTGTATTAAGTTCAATTTTCATTTTGGCTACTGTGCACTTTCCAAGTTCAAAACCTGTTTCTGAAAATACATCTTGAAAATCCGTCAGAATAGTCGTAAGATTTTCACGAACATCATTATTTAAATGTGATGTCGCATTTGTCGAGAATATACGTTCGACTCGACATTAATGTACCTTGTAGCACATATTTACCGAGTAAAACGTATTAATTCATCATCGACCGCTAAGATACAAATTTCCGCTTTTGTTTTATCAATTTCAATATAAACATCCATTTGTTGTTTGCAGACGTATTCCCCGCCTCTAAAGCCATTAAGCACTACAGTATTCGGTTTTGTCTACCCCGATTTTGATTCCAAATGATTTACGAATGAAAATATGACCACTTCTCAGATCAACAAAAGCATTTGTATGTAGACCATTCACGTTCACTTTTTATAATACCATTTGAATTTTCAATAACGACCATTTTCCGTAGTATGATTTGTGCAGCTACACTTTGTAAAGATTGAAATTTCCACTAGCTAATTTCAATCACACTACATAATAAATCAGACCGTCAGCATAAAAATCAACATCAGCACCATATCACCATATCAGACATCGGAAATACCTGAAAAATATGAAATTTATTAATATATATTTATGCATTTAATTATACGGACATTACCTGTGATCCACTAGCCTAATGAGCCGCGGGTGTTGATACATAAACTGCACAAACCTAAAAAAGAAGCAATGAACAAAAAGCGAAATATATGAATAAAAAAAAAACAAATATATAGAATCAACCAACAACTAAAGCACTCACTGGTTACGTTTTTTTTTACAATAAACAAAAATATATCGCAAGTAATACTCCTTCTTACTCCTAATTTTTACATTAAACCACAAAGAAAAAACAAAGATCAAATATATAAGCGTTACTTAATTATATTTTCAACGACGGAGGAAACAAACTACAATTACAATTACACCGGCACTGATTTTATGCAACAGTATAAAATCACTCACTTATATTTTCTTTTGAAAACAAATTTTGTTTAAAAAAAAAAAAAAGAATTTAAGCTCGAAGTTAACAATAACATAAACGTGGCGAAAACGAAGGCAGGCGAAGAAAACAAAGTACGCAAAAATACACAAAAGCATGCGAATAACACGAAGTACAAAACAATATACAAACAAGAAACATAATTGACAACGGCAAATTTAATGGTACGCTTCACCGAAAAGCTTCGGTCGAACGAATATATAAGTACGCACATTTCGCATAACTAGACACTTAGCTCTGTGAACTCAGACGATATACAAGTCTCGCTCAGGCTCATTCAGCCTATTGGTCAATTCGATCGAAATTTAGCTTACAGGCTCGTTGAGCCTTACTGGTCCATCCGATCAAACTAGGACCAAGGCTCGTTGAGTTTACTGGTCCATTGGATCACTTA